ATAACTTACTTTACGTGTAGACTTCATATGCAGTCTACAAAACTTAGAAAAAAAACGTAGACTGCATAAGAAGTCTACTATTTTGTTTTGGTCAATTGCAAAACTAACCTGTCGGGTTATAGTGTAGACTTTTACTGCAGTCTACAGTTACGTAGACATTTAGTTCTGTCTACTCGTAGAAAGTCAACTTTGGTCAATTTCAAAACTAACCTCTTTCAAATAAATTTAAAAGTGTAGACTGCATAATAGGTCTACTTCTAAAAGTCAAACTCTGATCGAATTCTGGTCAATTGCAAAACCAACCTTTTAAAAAATGTAGACTGAAAAGTAAGTCTACTCGTATAAAATCCCTTTTTTTCAAATACAGAAAGTAACCCGTGAATTTGGCAATTGCAGAAACCAACCTAAACGTAGACCTAATGTTCAGTCTACAACCTGTAAACTGAATAAAACGTCTACAGGTCTGTAGATTGAATATGTAGTCTACCATGTAAAATCTATCAAAAGTGGTTTTGTGTATTATTCATTAAGTTTTTTCAAAACTTTTTTGTATGAAAGTGTGTGTTAGTTAATCAGAAGGGTCTTGAATGATTTTCAGAAGATAATCTGTTATAATTAGGAAGTTATCAAATTTTTTGTTTGTATATGTTGTTAGCTTAAAATTTGTAGACGTACTTGTAAGTCTATGATATAATTTTTGGTTTAACTATATTGTTTGCTAATAATTGTAGATGTACTTGTAAATCTATTTTATAATTTTATCAAACATAAAATTTTTGTTTGCTAATTATGTAAACCATATTTTTTTTTTGTAGGAGATGGCTCAATTACTCATTGTATACAGAGAATGGGTGGTGAAAAACTCTAGATGTGTTAGTGTTATGTGTCGAACTTATGAGTTGTGTATTAGTGTTTCATTGCTTTGAGTTGTCTTCTATTGGATTTGTAGGTCTTTAGTCTGTGTTGAACNTTTTTTGTAGGAGATGGCTCAATTACTCATTGTATACAGAGAATGGGTGGTGAAAAACTCTAGATGTGTTAGTGTTATGTGTCGAACTTATGAGTTGTGTATTAGTGTTTCATTGCTTTGAGTTGTCTTCTATTGGATTTGTAGGTCTTTAGTCTGTGTTGAACTTGTGATAGACTTATGTTATATTTTTCTTTGTCAAATAATAAGTCTACACGAAAGAAGACTAATAAGTAACATCACTTTTTTATGGCTCTAATAGTAGTCTTTTATTTTAGGTTTCTTAAAAAAAACTGATTACACAAGTCTATACAAGTAAGTCTACATGAAAGAAGACTAATAAGTAACATCACTTTTTTATGGCTACAATAGTAGTCTCTTATTTTAGAGTTCTTAAAAAAAATGATTACACAAGTCTACACAAGTAAGTCTGTAATTGCACTTCCAATGCTCCACTCAAAACATTGGGCTCCCATGCAATGTCCACTTAAAAGCTTCGCTATTTGTAGCTTCTTCAAAGGACAATTATCAGCCTGCACTTTTCAAAGTTAACATATCAAAAAGATAGAAACTTAACAGAAGAAAAACAAAAGTACAACATGATTAAAGGTAAAACATATTATAAAACCAGCTACAAAGAAACCCAACCCTTCACTCTTTTACATTTATCTTATGTAGATTTTGAACCAACGTACTTGGAAATGAACATATTAACTCTCCATTCTATAGTCATTTAAATGTTCCAAAACAAAAAGAAGAAACCAACTAAGAGTTACCTGATGCAATTAGGAAGGGATACAGAACAAATGAACAATGTAAGTTAGAAACCAAAAGTGTGTAAAGTAGAATAAGACATCTTGTAAACACAAATTACCATTTGAGCTATTTTTTTATAGCACCAATGTCCATGAACAACGGGTAATCTTTCCAGAAACCTGAACTGGGCAATAGAAAAATCGCTTGCCATAACAGCCTGCAAAACAGTTGATAATCAGGCATTTCCTACAAGTTGGGACACGAAAATAAATTCTATACAAATCACATTAACCTGCATCCCTTCGACTCCACTAATGCCAACACCAATGTCAGCTTCTTGAATCATTCCAACGTCATTTGCACCATCACCTATTGCCAATGTAGTTTTCCCAGTTCCCTCTTTAACTAACCTTGTTACCTTGTTTTCGAAACGAAGCAGAAATAAATAAAAAATTAGACGCAAAAGGAACACATGAAGCTGACAAGTTCAGATAAGAGAATGGTGGAAATACCAGAGCTTTCTGCTTGGGAGATACACGGCAGCAAATGACTGACGCACAATCAACAGCCAAAGCAAGAAACTGAAACTTCATATCATCCTCCAATGCATACGTTAGAGTTTTCCCGTCAATGATCAAAGCAAATGCAGCATGTGGATCTTTCTCTAGCTTCACCATTTGTACAGCTTTAGTGAGCTGATTCAAAATATTCTCCTTCACAGCCTGATTACATCAATAGACATATCAATTATAGATTGCCTACATAGCGTTCTCATTTCTAAGGGAATTCATCTTATTTCCAAACCTTTGATTCATGAGATCCTCCTTCTGAATTCATCACAGTTATACATATCTGTTTCATGCCTTGCCTAAGTAAACTACATGAATATCTGCAGTTCAAAACAAAAGTTAGTCAAAGAACTTCGAATATGAATGAATCTACTTCAGTGTATCGTTCTAACCCGATGTTGATTGCTGTTTCCATCTTATCCCCGGTTAAAACCCACAACTTGAGGCCAGCTTGGGCAAGTTTATCTATGCATTGGGGGACCTAAAGTCAAATGGAAAGAAAAAAAAAAAGAAACTCAGTTTTACACCAAACAAGATGGGAATCAAGGTGTCTTGTCTAATATATGCATACCCCTTTCTGGAGTTTGTCCTCCACAGCAGTTGCACCTACAAGAATAAGGTCCTTTTCGATCATATCTGAAATCTTCTCAAGCAAGTCATCTCTGTCAGATCCTATAGAAGTTTTGGCCTTGTGAAACTCAGCGTTCCAAGCTGAATATTCATCCTCATCAAGCTTTCTTTATGAAAGGGCAAGAGTACGAAGTCCAGCTTCTCCATATTCATTTAGATGCTTAGTGGTAGGTCCCAAGTATGTTTTTCCATTCTTAGCCAGTCGTTCAAAAATGATACTGCAAACATTTAATAAGAACTGCTTGAAATTTTATAAGACGACACAAAACTCAAAACATTTTGATCTAACCTGTCAGCTCCTTTGCATAGCAGGAAAATCTGCCCTTCCTCGTCACGTATAACTACTGACATTCGCTTCCGTTTGCTAGTGAAATCCAACAGATTCAGAATTTTATACTCCCTGCATTGTTTCTAATACATGTTCAGGAATGGTGCTTTAACCCAATATTCTAAAAACTAAAGATAGATCTCTGAAAGATCTCACCTTTCAATGGTTTGCCCTGAAGAAGATAACCTTTCATGAACATAAACACTTGACTGAGTTCTCTTGCAGAACTCAAAACCGAACTCACTCGCAGCAGTAAGAAAAGAAGCTTCATCTGGTGACTCTGCCTCATACGTGTACTTGCCAGTCTCCTCGTTAAGCTCAGGAATAGCTGTGTGGCAAATAGCTAATATCCGAAAGAAGAGCAGAATGTCATCAGCATGTGGCTCCCTCAGCCAGTTCCCATTCATCAGCCGAACATCCTCAAAACCAAACCCCTTTATAGGGACTCTAGGAGTCATCATCTCACCTTCATGATTATTACTGCTACTTTCTACCTGGATTTCTTGAACACTCATCTTGTCCTTGCTGCCATCGATTTCGCAGAGCTTCTCGATCAAAACCCTAGACACAGAAACAGATTGTTAGGTGACTCGGGTCTGCAGAGAAGAGAGAGAGCTCGAGAATTGAAAAATTACCTGAGATCTGAAGCTTTCGCCGGGGAACATCGTAGGAGAAGAAGGATGAGAGAGAGAGAGAGAGAGAGAGAGGCATGTTGTTTTTTATGTCGGCCCTTTTTTAATAAGAAGGAGTATTTATATGTCAAATTATTTTTCTGGTTAGGTTAAAACTCTTTGGTTTAATTTTGGTTTGGTTAAAATTATTTTGGTCAAACTTTAGGTTAGGTAGACTTCCAAAGAAGTCTACTATAATATTTTTCTTTATTGTTTAAATAGTTTATAATATATAATCAAATTTTTTTCATTATATTTAATAGACTTAGTATATATTTTTTTGATAAAATTGTAATTCACATTTTAATTCATAAATAAATAAATTTAATTTTAAAATAATTTTTTTTTTGTAATCACCAATTATAGTAGACTAAAAGAGACGTCTACTATCAAAGTATACTTTACCGTAAGTATTGGCGCCAATAGGAAAAAATAGGCTCCAAAATTCATTTTCGTTTCCCGCTTAGTTAATTTTAATTTTAAAATATTTATTTTGATAAACACCAATTAATGTAGACTGAAATAGACGTCTACATATACGTAGACTTTACTGTAAGTCTACTATACCCTAAATAATGGCGCCAATATGGAAAAATAGG